TGCAGGTTCATTCCACTGTTTGGATCCCTGCTGACAGCTGGTTTCTCTTTCACTATAACCAGTCGAGCTCTGCAGTTTTTCCTCAGTGAGCTCGCTGATGATGCTGAGAGGGTGTTTAGAAGGGCTCTGAGTTTGACCACCTCAGTGTGGTACTGTTAAAATCTAGCATTCCTCACAAATTTCACCATTTTTAGACGAGCTGTAAACTGGAGGAAAACCAGTGTTTCTCTGAGCTGTGGGTCGTTTGGTGTTCCATATCACTCTATATCTGGAAAAGTGCAGCAGTTTCCCCTCTTATCCAGGAGATTTGCTTCTATCAGCGTCCACTGGTCTGTTTGTTTGTTCAGGTAGATCATTGCAGATGAAAGTGGAAAAAGGTTTAGAAATCCCAGAGTGCTGCATGATCCCAGTGTACCGAGCTAAGTGACCGACAGCAGGCATTCAGATAAAAACCAAATGTCAGCTCTTTTCTTCCAACTTCCAACTGTTTACAGTGCAGCTGTTTAATCATTGTGGAGCTTTTTCACATTCTTTGTGTATCTGTTCAAATCTGCACTTTGTATGTGAGAAAAAGCTTTCTGTTCTCTGTTGAGATGATCCCACACTGCTTCAGTGATGTTGAGGTCGAGGCTCTGGGGAGACCAATCCATGACTGATAATCTTCCACTGTGTAGTTTTTTTGTGTGTGTTTGTTTTTGCTTTTACTGTACTGGTAGAGTTTTTGAGATCATCATAATACTGAGAAATGAAGCTGTGGTCACTTCAAAATCTGACATTACTTTTGTGACCCGACCCCCAAACACCACTGCCTGAACTTCACATTTTCCTAAGTAGAATCTCATTTAATATATTTCAGTGTGTTTGTGAGTCTTTGGCACACACAAAGTTAGTCATGGAGTGATGACGATAAACTCTACTTTTTATGTTTGGCATGCTTCCCTTTGGCAACATTATTAGAAGACATATACAGTCCCGAAGTTAAAGACCACCTGAAAAATGGCAAAAAATCATATTTTGAGTGGTTGGATCTTAACAAGGTTCCAAGTAGAGCTTCAACATGCAACAAGAAGAAATGAGACAAAACATTTTTTGAGCATGCAATTTGTTGAAAACAACACTTAAACTGAAACAGGCTGTTTTACAGCTGATCAAAAGTTTAGGACCACATCTCCACAAAAATCTGAAAACCTAAAATAATTTGCGCAAAAACAAAAAATCGAGGCAAAACAAAACAGGAGCACCAGAAGATCAAAAGACAAAAAGAAAAACAAAACACGAGTCCAAAACCAAAAGAAAAGCACACCAGAGCACAGGAAAACAGAGCCCAAAACAGAAGAGGCCAGGGCCAGCACAGGAGTCCAAACAGTTCAGGGGGTTGACCGTGCGGACGGCAATGGCGGCGACGACAGCAGTGGTCCGGGGGCCGGCCGTGCGGAAGGCCACGGCGGCCACTCAGGCGATGGCGGTCC